GCACTAAATTTACAGTATATATTCTGTTAAGCATTTGGGACAAAGTGTAAAGCACCATGCCAAATGTAAGGATTATTATTATTATATTATCTGTTTAGTCCCAATCCCCTGCCTTTTTCTTCGCAACCTATTTTATACAGTACTTTGTGACTCAGAAACTTGTGAACAAATTAAATTCTGCCCGGAACGTTTTCTGGTCAATAGCAGCTGCCTTGTTCATGAATTCACCTCAGAATGTCTGAGAGGTTCATCGAAAAGCTTCTGAATGATCTGGACTAAGAATTTAATCCAGGGGTTCAGGTGGTGTCCCCAAAAAACACATTAAAGCCACATCCTGAAGCGATCTAAGACATTTGAACGACTTCATATAAAGCGGCTACATCAAATGTAAGGATTATTATTGATGTGCACTACAGGAGAGAGTATAATAAGAGCATTGTCTTACAGGGTAATATGTATAGAATTAAAAGATGACAAGTTTCAGGAGTTCCTTGACTTCTGCGAAAGATCAATGCCACTCACTCGCTCACTTGCTCGCTCGCTCGCTCACTCACGGCACTGGAGGTGTCAATGAATCATAAGCCTTTTACATTGGAGAAAGATTGTCATGACTTCCTGGCAGAGCTTCTGCTTGTTTCGTAGGAGTGACTTGTCATTGTTAACATTGCATTTCTGCAGCTAACAACACGTCAAGCAAATTAGCACTGCACAGCGTTAGTCTTACACTAACATTTAGTTCTACGAATGTTCCGATAGATTCAGTTCCACAATGAGGAGAGATCTATGTAAAACACTGGATGCACTGACCATTGAATCAAGTTTAAATTTCACTTCTCTACGGGTGCTCGACTAAATAATAATAATAATAATCAGCTGCATTTAACATAGCAACTTATCACATAGGTTAGACGACTCAAATCGCTTCACAGAATATACTGTAAAGTGGATTGACTGTGTTTGTACGTGAAACTCGGCAGCCAATTGTGCACAATTGCAACCGAGGCCTGACTGCAGCACTGAAAGAACACTTTCACTGCTGCAAGGAGAGGGTGAAATGATTCACCCTATCTCCCAGCACCTGGGTCTGGATAAATGAACTGGAGTGTGAGTGCTACTGGATAGTGGAACGCTCATTATCACAGTGGGCAGACAGCACACAGCCAGGGCTCCATAGCTATTGCTCAGAATGTACTGAAATTTACCAGTTCACAACAGAGGAAATGATCAAATGTTCAAACCAGCAGCAGCAGCGAGTGACAAAAGAGCCAGGGCTCCGTGCCGTGCCTTGTCTCCAGGTTTGGCCGCGCATTAATGTCCATTCTGACGTCAGTTGTATCAATCTGTTCAATTTTTAAAGATTGCATTCAGGGAGAGTTTGAAGATCCAGAGCGTTTCTCAGGATGTTTGTGACTTGCTGCTGCTACTGCTGACGGAGTGTCTGTCAGACATCAAGTCCTGGATGAGAGCCAACTTTCTTCAGTTGACCGTCAACAAGACCGAGGCTCTCCTGATTGGCTTCTTACCTCAGGCGCTGATAGCGTCACTATCCATGGTTGCACACTCCACCTTGCTGAGCCAGCCCGGAACTTGGTTGACTCTCAACTATTCTTTCTACCCCACATCTGCGCCATGACCTGCTCTGCCTTCCCCCACCTCCGCAATGTCGCCCGGCTCTGACACTGTCTCACACCGCAGGCCGCAGAAACTCTCATACACGCCTTCATTACATCGAGGCTCCACTATGCAAACTCACTGCTTGTCGGCCTACCCAATTCCTCCCTCCATAGGTTGCAGATCATCCAGAACTCTGCAGCCCGCACTAGGCTCCGTGACCCTATCACCCCCATCCTTGCTCAACTCCATTGGCTTCCCATCACACAGAGGATACAGTTCAAGGTCGTGGTCCTCACCTTCAAAGCCCTCCATGGAGTCCTGTAGCTCAGTGGTTAGAGCACTCGCTTTGAAAGTGAGAGAGCTGAGTTCAATTCCAGGCAGAGGGCGAAACCTTGGGCAAGTTTCCTTACTCCACACAGAGCCTAATAATAATCCCTCCAAAACCAAAAACAATAATAAATTTTCAATCTACGACTGTTTGTGGGACATTGCTGTGCGCAATTGGCCGCCGCGTTCGCCCACAAATATACAGTCAATTCACTTTACAGTGTGTTCTGTGAAGCGCTTTGGGACGTCCTTCCGACGTGAAAAGCGCTATATCAAATGCAAGGATTATTATTATTATTATTATGGCCTTGCTCCCCCCTATCTCTCCGACTTCTAACCGCCTACCACCCTGTTTGCTCCCTCCGCTCAGTGGGCCTGCTTCACGTCCCCCGCCTTGCTCGTCTCACTATCGGCGGGCGGCCTTCTGCCACTTTGCCCCCATCCTTTAGAACTCCATCCCGCAGTCCCTCCATCTCACCCCCTCCCTCGCCACCTTCAAGACCCACCTCAAGACCCTCCTCTTTGACTGTGCTTTTGATCTCCCTGCTTCCCCACCTGCCCTCCCCCGTCCCCCACCCCGACTCTCAGCTCGGGTCCATAACTCTGTCCGTCCAGCGCCTTGGGACATCCTCCCGATGTGAAAGGCGCTATACAAATGTAATTTTGTTGTTGTTGTTGTTGGTTTGAACATTTGATTGTTTCTTCTGTTATGTGATGGGGAGTTTCAGTCCATTCTGAGCAATGGATTGTCAGAATCGGATCAACTCTGTTTTGGTAGTCCAGTTTCTGAAATAGATAGATCTGAGTCCTGTGTTTCACCCACAAAATATACAGTCAATTCACTTCATAGTATATTCGGAGATGTGATTACTCCAGTTCTGATGAGCTGAAGCTTGTTGAGAGGAAGAGGTTCACCGGATTTGAATACATAACTGAGAGACTCGAATACAGTGTTCATAAAAGGTTGAGAATGTTAATACAATATGAATTACATTTTTAGGTGAAGAAGGATTGAAAGTGGGAAGAAAGAGAAAGAATGAAAATGAAAGAAATATATGTTGAACCATTATAACACCTGTGTTGAAACACTTTGCAGGTAATTACTGCTGTGAACGGACTGTTTTTGTAGACAAACCACGGCAACCACTTAACTTGTAAGGTCCTTCAAACAGTTGAATGACCAATTAATTTAGAGAACACAAGGAAAAGCTATTCAAATATTGTCGTATAATCTCTAATATCCAGCTGAATTGACAGACAGAACCTTGGTTTAATGTCTCACCTAAAGGATGAAATCTCCGACAAAGACCTAGACTGAGAGCTCAAGCCCTGATGTGGGGTTTAAACCCCAAACCTTCTGCCCCAGACACGATAGTGTGACCAGTTTAGCCTGGCTGATCAAATGAAGGTAAGAGGTAGTAGCTATCACTTAGATTAACAGAAGACATGGCGGAGCTTTGTCACTGAGGTATTGAAAGGAACAATATTATCATGAAGGGCAGGGAGGAGATTAAGGCTCAGTGATTTAGCCATTGCATTGTGAGAGGAATGAAGGCCGTGTGCGCTTTGGGTGTGCAGTCTGAAGCAAGTCAATCAAAGTAAAGTGGGAGCGAACAGTAAAAGAGTGGATGGGAGAGCGGAGGAGATTATTGATGCGGAGAAAGGACAAAGTGGGAAGAGTGAAGAGAGCTCAGGGCTGATGGAAAGAGTGAAAGGATGGACTATTAAATGCAGCAGCAATTGAGCGATTTGAGTGAGAGAGAGGGAAATGGTGATCAGTCTAGTTTGAATAAATAAAGCATATGTCAGTGGGAAGAAAACACCTGCTGTCAATTATGAAGTTAAGGATGAAATTGATTCGAGTCAACAGATGCACCTACAAATACACAATCATTACACTTTACAGTAAAAATTCTGTGGGGTTCTTTGAGATGCTTCGATGACGTGATTTGGTGCCACATTAAATGCAAGGATTATTATTGCATTTAATATGTGACAATATGTGACTGGATTACAAAAGTAACTCTCTACTCATCTCTGTTTAGCGTGTTTGCCTATAAAACAATTCAGTTTCATTTCTAATCAAATACATTGTACAAAGCCGTGTTTGAGGTGTTTTTTTTTCACATGTAAGGCACAATTTAAATGCAGGTTATTATTATAATTTATTATTTATTATTACGATTAAGCAAAGCTCCTTTCTATGATATTGGTAGCATATTTCTAACATATTTCTTGATATCGATATCAAGCCTCAGACATTCCTATCAGATCCGGGGCTGCATATAAATCGTAATTGCCTCTTTAATTATTAAAAGGGTGTCGCAATCTCCTGACATTTATATGCAATTGAAAAAAAAATAAAGGTACATAGGTTTCCTTAACAATGCTTCAGTGCTTGAAGGAGGCATGGGAGTAAATTAGCTTGATGGAACTGAAATGAGTGCCTTTAATGGGAGAAGGATAATAGCAATGATAGTAATAATAATCATCAATATGCTCCAGGGGTGGCTGGATTTATAGTGCTGGGAGACTATTCCTGTTGAACATAGTGTTGGCTCAATCCATCCCTTGTTGGTAAAGCTGTGCTGTTTGCCACAGCCTTTCATTCCCTTTCCCTTCTGGAGATTGGACTCGTCTCTCTTTGCATCTCGACATGCACAGTCCTTGCTCACACCCCCTGCACACTGGGATTGGACATTTTGCTGTCATTCTGGCTTTCAAGCTCCATCTCTCCAGGACACTTTTGACTGTTGGTCCTTAGTCTTATTCGAGCTGGAATAATCAGAGACAGACAGACACACAGAGAGAGAGAGAGAGAGAGAGACAGGACCAGACAGACAGACCAGACCAGAAGTGTGTGAGTGATTGAGAGAGGAATAAGAATAACATCAAGAGGTGGGGAACTTGCTTGTGAGCCAGAGGTGACTGACCAAAGGACCAGCACTACACAGGGAGAGCTTAAAGTGAGCAGAACTGGGAGAGAGAGAGAGAGAGAGACACAGCGTGGAATTTAAAAGGAATTTAAAATGACTTTTCTCCCCAGCATTGCTCTGCATCCCTGCCAGCTCATCATCCTGAACTTTCTCCTGTGCGCTGCTGATGAAGGTGAGAGAAAGAGAGAGAGAGAGAGAGAGAGACATATCCACACAGACTGAAAGTGGACACATTCCTATTGGAAATAAACTGGGAATAATAAAATGAGGATGAAATGTGCTTTGTGTGTGTTATAGAGAGAGAGAGAGAGAGAGACAGAGGGGGTGGTGGGGAAGAGGAAAAGTTCAGGGCATATAATACACCTATATGTGTGTGTATATTGTGTAGAGAAAGACTGAACAGATTCCTATTGGAAATAAACTGGGAATAATAAAATGAGGATGAAATGTGTTTTGTGTGTGTTAGAGAGGGGTGGAGGGGGTGGGGAGGGGGTGGAGAGGAAAAGTTCAGGTAAAGCAGGGCAGATAATAGGGGAGAAATTAATTTCTTCCTAATACTGCACTTGAAATATTTATTTAAATTGGGGTGAGGAGTGAGGTTGATTTATTTTTGCAGCCAAACCTGGTGCTATTCATTGACCTCACCCTCTGCCTCAATAAGGTTTGTCTCTTTGACCAGTTTACCACCCAGAGAGGTGTGAGACTGATAAATATATATATTTTTTTAAAAAAAGTACATTTTAACCTCTTGTGTTTTTAACCCTCTTCTGAACTGAATTGCATCCTCGGACAGTTTGAGAGCAGCAGTATTTTTGGCAGTTTTCTCTCCCAATAAATTAGAATTATTGCTTAAATGGGTAGCATTTTTTTGTGTGTGTTGTGGGGGTTTGGTGGTGGTGGGGGGGGGATAAGGAGGGAAATCGAAAGGGGTGTAGAATTGCAAAGTGATTTCTATTTATTAGTATTTTACAATTGAATTATTGTGCATCCTCTTGTCGTGCTGGGGGAGGTGGGGGATACTGTAAAGGGAGTGGGTGGGATGTGTTATTTTTAATAGATCAGGTTTCAATTGTAATTATCAATTTCCTTCCAATGCTTCAACAGAAAGAAATTTAGTATTAAAGAGAAAAATACCTTTTTCTATCTCTCTGTGTATTTCTCTGTCTCCGTCTCTCTGCATCTGTCTCTTTCGCTGTCTCTCTGTCTGCATCTCTGCCTCTCTCTATGCTTTGAGCCAATTGAGTCCTGGTTAACTGTTGTGGAAACTAATTCGCAGTGGCTGAGCGAGCGAGTGAGCGAGTGAGGGAATGTGGAAGCCAAGGTGTTTTCCAGATGTTGTTTACCATTGGGTTAAAATAAGCAAACTTCGCTCCCGTCTTCTCCTGGCGAGAGGTCGCCTTGCATCACATTGAAATGTACACTCGTAAATTGCTCGCTCTTTGTCTCCGATCACCCATAAAAAGAAACCTGGCAGATGAACAGAGCCGATGGCAGGTGCTCTTATTGACGCCCTTGTTATTTTTACACACAGTATGTGTGCTTTGTATAAATAGCAAAGTGCGCCCAGTGCCTTGGTAGCAAAGCAATCTTGTTGTAAAAGCAGCAACATCGCTAGACTTCTTCTTTACTACAAATTCAACCGTGCCCTTGCTTACAATTTGTGTGTCAGCCCCACCATGCATACCCCACTCTCTCTCTGTGTCTAGTGCTATCTCTCTCTCAGTCTGATCGCTTCAGAGGATGGAAGCTGACCATTTATTGTAAATAGCTGCTATCAATCTGTGTTCAATCTGAAATGAACCCCGAGATGAATGGGCCCTGGAGACGGGGCTAGTTATTGTTTCAATTACACTTGGTGTCAGTTCCGCAGTCTGGTCATTTTCCTCCTCAGAGGCAGTAACTTTTCTGAGAGGAGAGAGAGATATTATATTACAAACCGCTGTTTGTTATGAAAACGAAAAAAAAAGGCTAATTTGAATTCCTCTGATGTTCTCTTCTTTCACCCAACGGCCCGTGAAAATGCTCCTATAATAACGATAATAAAACTTGTGTTTGATATAGCACCTAATCACGTCGTTGAGACGTCTCAAAGCGCTTCACAGGTTTTATTGTACAGTGTGGTGACCGTACGCGTATAGGCAAAGGCGGCAGCCAATTTATAATGTCCCACAAACAGCCATGAAGTGAGCAAACAATTTATTTTTAATCTGAAATTTAACATTTCCCCTCCAAAATCTGCTAATGAAAGAAACAAAAGCTTTTTGTTTTATGTTGGGTGGGGGGTGGGGGGGGGGAGGGGGGGTGCAGGTTGATAAATCTCCAAATCGACTAACTTTGAAGATATCCACCTGAAAATTTGAACACATTTCAGAATGTCTTCATTTTTGCTGAATTTTTTTTTAAAAAGTTCAAACGGCAGCACGTTGCAGATTATTTTTATTGAGGTTCCTACTGTTTTTTTGAGCGTGTAAAGCAGTTTATATAATTCTCTCTATGTGTGTTGTACGTTAATATCCGTGGATTTGATATAGCGCCTTGTCACGTCGTCGAGACGTCTCAAAGTGCTTCACAGGATTTACTGTAAAGTAGTGTGACTGTGTATTTTGTGAGTATAGTGTATGTGAAAGGTACATCGTCTTTAACAGCAACGCCAGTGTCTCGGAGAGCTTGTGACAGAGAGGGGGAGAGAAGCCAGATGGCTGTAGGCTCAGTCAAAGAGCAAGATTTTCCAAGTGCGATGTGAAGACGGTCAAGAAGGGGGCAAGGCAGAGGGGTTGAGGCAAAGAGTTCTGAGCTTTGGTGGTGTAGTAACTGCAAGCACGGCCACCGATTGGGGCATGCCAGCTGAGCGAAGGGAGTGGATAGAGGAGTGAGTGGCGAGCAGGTCGGAGTGGTAGGGAGGTGCTCGGGTGTGAAGTGATTTTCATATGTATAACGTAATTTATTTGTGTGTGTTTCTTTGTATTTCAAGCCATAAATCTTGCTTGGGGTCATAATCTGCATCAACGAGCACAGTTGGCAAAAGTATTACACGCTGTGTGTGCACATCCCTCTATCAATGTAACGTGTCAGACCGTCTCAGTCGGTAGAAATCTCCCGTCTAAGTCGCACAGTTGCGCGTTCAAACCCCGCGTTGATACCTTGAGCGCACAGTCTAGGCTGATGCTCCAGCTCAGTGCTGGGGGAGTGCTGCATTGTCAGATGTACCGTAATTTGGACGAGACATTGAACTGATTTGCTGGTCTGCCTGTTCAGGTGGACTCTAAAGCTCTAAAAGAGGAGGGAGTTTCTCCTGCTGTTCTGACCAATAATCCCCCAAATAAACTTGGGCATTCACTTCATGGCTGTTTGCTGTGTATAAATTGGCTGCCGCATTTACCTACAAAATACACAGTCACTAGACTTTATGGTAAATCCAGTGCTTTCGGATGTCGGCGTGATAAGGTGCCACCTCAAATGCAACGATTGTTATTCGTAATAGAGACATCAGAAATGATCAGGGTGAAAACAGATCGTGTTTGACTTGTGAAAGAAAGATTCTGGGTCTCTGAGAGGCATCAGCTTGGGTTTGATGTTGCTCTTGTGTGTGCTTTCTCTTGTTTGATTTATACTTCGCCTGTGTGTGTGTGTGTGTTTCAGCCCCTGCACGGCTCTACTTGTTGACTTACTGTCAGCAACACTTTCAACGTCCAGTCAAACAAAATCATTCCCAACTTAGTTTGTTTGCGACAATGTGTGAGTTTATTGTACGAGGCTGTCTGTTTCCAGTGTGAAATATCGCTGTGCACTAAATCAGCTGTCGCGTTTACCTACAAATACAGTCACTACACTTTACAGTAAACCCTGGGAAGCACTTTAGGATGCTTGGACGATGTGATGGTCGCTGCATCAAATGCAAGTATTATTATTAAATAATTACGTTTTAAGGTCGATTTTCTGCAAGTTTTTTGTAAACCGCACAAAACCAGCTTCAAAACCGAGGCTAATTTCAAAAATATGCCAACATAAACGCAGCATAAATAGTTCAAATCTAGACCCAGGTGGAACACTCCTGTGTTCTGTGAGTGGACAACAACAAATTTGTGTAGCGCTCTTCACGTCAGGAGGACGTCACAGAGCTTATAGGAGTGCGGCAGGAAATGTGTTTGAATTTCCTTTTTGTGTCTTTCGTGCTTTATTTATTCCACACTGAACTCAGCGAACAGCAGTGCAACACTAAGCACAGAGTGCAGAACACCAGATTTCTTCATATTAATGTTTTGGCACCTGTTGCCAAGGTGCTTAAATATAGGTTGCAGAATCAGGCCATGATGAAGGGGCAGTGGGGGAGGATTGCTGGAAATGTAGCCTTGTAGCATTGAACATTTTCGGACTCAAATCAATCCTGGACTTCAAATCAACATTAAAAGCTTATTCACTGACAGTTGTTTGCTGGAGTGCCTTGAATTACAGTCTACATCATTTGTGTCAGCATCGTTTGTGTCAGTATCAATTGTGTCACTCAAAGCAAAATAATCCATTGCGAGAAATGGAAATAACATCATAAAAGGGACATGTTTTGGGGTTGAGTGGGAGAAAGACAGAATATTGGTGAAAACAACTGTTTAATGGATATGTGGTCAGATGAATGCCGTGACTGCCATACAGTTAACATTTACGCAGTGCCTTTCACACCAGGAGGACGTTTGAAAGTGCTTCACATAATTCAATGTGAAGAGAGGTGACTGTGCAATCCGTGGGCGAAGCCAGCGACCAATTTGAGCAGTGGAGCATCCCACAGACTGCTGTGAAGTGAGAGCAGTTTTATCTGGGGGATTGTTGTCTAGGACATGGGGAGCAGAGAAACTCCCTTCTCTTTTCAAATTGTACCATGGGATCTTTAATGTCACCTGAACGCGTAGGTGAGACCTCGGTTTAACATCTCATTCGAAGGATGTAGCACATCCAACGATGCAGTCAGCCTAGACTGAGCTTAAAGTCCCCACGTGAGGTTTGAACCCACAACCTTCTGGTTCAGGGCCGAGAGTGCTCAGGAGCGTGTGCGAGAGAATGCGCGCGTGTGACTGGAATGGTTTCAAAAGGATGGATGTTTGCAGCAAACATGAAGATGTCACTTCCAGTAAGATGTCTCTCATATTTCACTCTGATCGTCTGTTTGATTTGAGAATGAAT